CCTGCACAGGCAAGGGTTCCTTAACCTCCTCGACGTATCGCCTCTTGTCTTGCATTTCCGCGCGGATTTTCACTGCCTGCGGGCTGTATTGCCAATGGTCATAAAAAGGTGAAACTGTGCCTGTGCTTAATTAATTAAGCACTATTCCACGAAGACATATGGGGGAGTGGAGGTATAGCTCTACTTCAACCTCGGCACTGGCTGAGATCAGTGGTGAGCTTCACGTTCTTGCCGCTTTACCCCTGGAGAAAGAGCCCCGGTACCCATTGGAAAGGGGGCTGGGTGGGCCCAGAATTAGTCTGGACGCTGTGAAGAACGGAAAAACTTGCACTGCCGGGAATCAGAACACGGGCCGTCAAGTCCAGTTCAGCCCGCCACTATACCGACTGAGCTACCCCGTTCGTTATGTTCTTAACTCGACACCCCAAATATTCCACAATCTGAAGACATATGTACATTTGAAAGCAGCGTGCCTTAGAATTACGGTCTGATGGGAAGTGACGCCGTCTAGTTTGGTAGATAGGCATTCACGTTTCGGTGTAACTTGCTCTCTGTCTTCGGGCAGAACCTCTTCTATGTCTTGATGGTTGGTTCAGTTCCAGTCTGGGGGTTCTGTACCCCAGGGAATGAAGACAGCCACTGACATGCATCTCGCTGATCTGCGTGTCCATGTTAATTTGCATAGTAAACGTTCAGGCGCCAGATGTCTGCAAACATCTACTTAATATGTCGTCAAATGTCGTCTTTTAGCCACTCTTCGCCGGTACTATTGTGGTTTGCATCATCAGAATGATTTAAAAAAAGAAGCAAACTTCTGAAGTGGAGAAAATAAACCGTCAGTGGCATTGGTTTATGTTTAATGTGAGCAGCATATGACAAGCAATATTCATAATGCAAGGACAGAGGAACAGAGGACATTCTCTTGCGTTTCGTGTTTCTGCTGGTTTCCGGCAGATGTATCAGGAAAAAATGACTCGAATGGTTTAGTGCATGGGGAGAATAACCAAGTTTCGCACCCATAAAAGAGAGCAACATCAGTGCACTGAAATTTGTGAGTTATTCACAGCAGCAATTATTATTAGGCAGCTAAATGTATGACGTGACAGAACAGTCTTACTGCGAAGTGTGACCACGTGGTCACAGACTGGTCCGTGAAGGTCACTTGCCTTAAATAGCGATGGTCTCATACACAGTGCACACATCTGCATAAGGGGACAACTCCGGGCAGGTTTCCTTGCCGCACACGTTTCTTAGAAGAATAAATCACAAAGTATAGAGCGTATAACGGAATTTGACGTAGAAACATACGTCTTCGATTAAGTTTAGGTTACTGTCTGTCTGCATGCACGCTCAGAATTTACCCCCTCCCCCACTACTACTCATCGTCTGCAGGAGCGCCGTTGCTGTCAGCAATTTGCTCTGCTCAGAGGGAAGTTTTGGGCAAACCGACTGGTAGGCAACCCTTTCGCCAGTAACGACAGGGCCTGGCTACGACCGACGCCATGAAACATGTGACATCTGAAACACGGCGACCCTGGGTCTCCCAGCCGGCCGAGAGATTTCTCGTCTTTCACACGAACCCACCACTGGGCCCTATCCCGAGCCAGATGAATCCAGTGTACTACACATTCATATCCTATTTTATAAAGATCAGTGATAATATTATCTTTTCAGCTACAATATTTTTCCCCCCAAGTGATATTTTCCTTCACATTTTCCACCTAAAATTCTAAAATTCGACGCCCGATGAAAAGTATAAATTACGAAGCTCCTTCTTCCTGTCACTTCCTCTCTCTCTCTCTCTCAGAGCCAAATATTCTCCTTGGCGCCCTGTTCGCAGACTCTCTCAATCCGTGTTCTGATTTTCATGTGAGAGAACAGGGTTCACAGCCATGTAAGTTATGATGTCACATCTTTAATCTTAGGTGTTTAGATAGGACATGCAGAGATGGGCTAACGTGGCGCCGCTGACTGTCCTAACTCGCATAAAAACGTTGCTCGTTCGTGCCCAACTCTACAAATGCATGTGGCACGGTGAAAATCAGTAAAACGTTGAGTTTGTTTCAGTTTTGGTGGTCCCTCTGTTTAATGTTTGAACCATTGTCTAAATGACTTGGAACTGGTGATCAAATGAAGCAAAACGCGTCAACAGAGCGAAGCAACTTTCACAATAAAAATAACTTTGTGGGTTTCGGCGCCCTTCGCGATGCTGTCAATACCCTGTCTACACAGCGTCGAAATGAAGGATAATATGAATGAGAAAGGATTAGGAAGGGGTCGTGGCCTAATTGAGGCACTATATTGGCATTTGCCTGGAGGACCTGAGAAGAACAAAAAAAAAACTCGTCAGGATAACAGACGTTCCGGCCGAGATTCGAACCCATCACCTTTCGAGTACAGAACGCATACCCGGTGGGCAGAAGGTAGTCAAGTAATCCGTGAGAATATCTTGGTATCTACTTATCCGTGCTGGAAAGAGTGCAGCAGCTGAGCAGCGAGTGAAGCGTCCTCATTAGAGGAACTTTAGTATCCTGGGTATTTCTGGAGTTCATAATCTGGGGCGCCTTGAGACAGCGCTCACGTGTTTGCTAACTGAACGCCGGGGAGAATATCCGCTGTGATAGCTGTTTCACGGCGCCCGAATGTACTGCGGATGAGAGGCCACGTTCGGACAGTTCCCACATCTCAAATCTCGCGGAAGCAGCAGTTTCAGGTCTCGTGACCAGAAGACACCAGGAGCTTCATGCATGACGACTAAACATCAGCTGCCAAGTGACGACACATGCAGGTCTCCTCTACGCTTTGGAGCCCAAGCGTTCAGAATAGTTCCGTGCCGTGCACTGTAGGCCTGCAGCATATTTGTTACGTTTCCTTTTAAGATTCAGGCGTTCTTGGGCAGTAAAACAGAGTTCATTACATGGAGGCCGTGTCCGCCCGTCCGTTTATGTGACCCAGTATCAGCGCTGAAACCGTTGGGAAGGCAATTCTTCTGTCGGATTCGACGCTCTCACGGCGGTATTTGTGAGGAATACAGGCTTCTGAATTGTGATGTCGTTTAGTTCGGAAAGTGCCAGATGTTTCCTACGAACATATTCCCGCCATCTTCATGGTGTAAGAGTAGGCCTAGCAAGAAACTAGCAGCGCGTCATAGCTCAAGCGGTTAGTCGCTGGCTTCCCATCGCGGCGGTCCGGGTTCGATCCCGGGTCTGGTCAAGTGGGTTTTGTGGTGGACAAAGTGGCGCTGGGGCAGGTCTTCTCCGAGTACTTCGGTTTCCCCTGCCAATCTTCGTTGCACCAATTGCTCCACAATCACCCTCACTTATCATCTGGGGCTGGTACAATAGGCCAGAAGTGGCCGCAGTACAAGGGACTTAGTCCCACCCCACTAGCAATAAAAAAGAAAAACTAGCAGAAACAGGCGGCAACCTAAGCAAATTTCTTGATCCAGTTTACCAGATCACTTCCGGTATCAAGAAACTACGTGATAAAGTGTTTATCGAAACATGCAGTGTTAACAGTGCTGGTAAGTGAATGCACGGCCATGTGAACACTAACAGAACAGCGCTAGAAAAGGACTGATACGAAACAGCATCAGATGATCTCCAGCATGACGCCCACCTTACTGAGGGGTGCAAGTATGCTTGAGACCTGACGCCCGCCGTTGGGAATTCTTCCCAGCCTTTGGGAACCCGAGGTTGCACAACAGCCAGGCCGGGATATGCCCCAGGTAAGGGCTGACGGAGCTGGGAGCTTAACTTCGGGCAGGGCGAGCTGGCTCGCGCAACAACCCACTGACTTGTTTCGGGGAGGGGCGGGTCTCAGCCGGGACACCGTCTGTCCCTGTTCCCTACTCCAGGGAATACCGGGATAGTACCATTCTGTCCACATCTTTCCAATCCATTATTCACTAGGTCGGTCGGACGGTTAAGCTGCTGCTGATCCTCGCCAGCACAATCATTTTTGGCTTCAGGTCTCGTCGAGATCCATGACGAAGATTTCTGTCCTGTTCGAGATATGTACGTGTTTGTAATTGGGGCCACCTCTTCGACGAGGGGAGAGGTCTGTCTTTCTGTGTAGGCGCTACTTTTGTTGGGTCGCAGTTTCAAGATCCGGCCATGCAACAGTCTGCGTTAGTACGGGCGTCTTTACATAAAGTACAAACATGGCTTTCGTGCGTTACGTAATGTATACATTCAACATGTACATTGTGTTACGTTCCTTTTTTGTATTTATTTAGTGTGTGTGAATTAGGTTGAGTTAAATAACACTCTTCAAATATTTGCAGCCAACAGATTTATCTCTGAGTGTATGATGTTCATATTTTTCATTACAACTGAACCAAAAATCAGAAGGAATTTCTCTTCCTTGCAACGTTTTCATATGTGATTTCACTCAAATCACACGTGTCGGCTCATAACGCCAAGTACATCTCACTTTATCTCACCGTCAATAAAATATTACGTGTACAGCTACTTGGAAGCGTACCCTGGTACCACTGTCAAGATGATGTTTCTGTAGCGTTATGTAACAGAAGGACAGCGCAAAGGATGTTAGCAAACCTGCTACAATAGTTGTACCCAGTGTCATGTTATACACCATTAGTTTTGCTGCGTTGAGTGTTTTCCATAACAAGTTTCTTACGATAATATACGAAGACTTACCATGAGCTTATAATCTATGTATATAAAAACACTAAAATTACTGTATTCAAGTAAAAATAATTATAAAACAATTTGGAGCTTAATCCAAATCGAAATTCAGACTGACAGGTGATTGTTGCGCAGTTCCGTTCAGGCATAATTCGTTCTGTTGGGGGTTATAAATATGTACAAACAAGAATGCATATGTTAAAAGAGTATGAAACTGTGATGACTCGTAGTTACATTTTACCCTGCAGTGTTACATAATCATAATGCAGTTCCAATAAACTCTCATACAAATTGATGAAAAGTGTTACACACGAACAGAATGTGACGAAGCGAAATGTGATGTAGCCTTACCTGCTGGTGGTTTTTGTGAAGAAGTTGGATTCTCTAGTCATGAGTTCGGACCGGAAGCGAGCCATTTCTTCCTCCATCTTCCTCATCTCAGCATCAAACCGCTCTCGGATGTTGCTGAATTCGGTATCTATGACGCTGAAATCCCCCAACTTGATGGGGATGTTTCGCTTTATTCCACTCTCAGCCATTTCGGTTACTCAACAAGTTAACTCACTTTGGAACGCAGGTGTGTACTAATATGTCCTCACTTCTGTACGTTTACTTTCTTTGGTTCACGCGGTGTGCCACGGGAGAGCGCAAAGCATACAACACTACACTTCAGCGTCCCAAACCTCTATAACCAAGTGCGCTGGGCGCGATCGAGAATTTAAATGGCCGTGGTTCCGCCTCTCTCTGCCGCCGGTGCCAGACCTTGCGAAGCGCTCCCGAAGTGCCGAGACGTTCCGTGAAAGCAACAAGAGAGAGAGAGAGAGAGAGATCCACGCCGTGACGTGGCTGTGGGGCGAAATCGATGATGGCTGGCCAACTCCACAAATGGTAGAGCGGAAAACTTGCCGGCCGACCTTGCGACAGGCCTATCGTTGTTTTAGGTATGATAATTCAAACAGCGCCCACTTTCGCCCGTCCCACGTACAGATTTCATTACGGTACTCCAGAACTTTAAACCCCCCTCTTTCCATTCATTCATCTTCTCTTACCATCTTCGTTGGTAACGTGGGCTTGTGAGAGTGACGTCACACAGCTCCGTCCCGTTTGCTCTTATCTGTTTCTCTCAGCGGATCCTGACCTATCCTCAGAAACTCACTGAGTACAGTCTTTCTTCGGAAGCTAAGCTACATTTCCTCTGCTGGGTGGACACGCCCCGCCTGCATCAACCCCGGAGATTCATCGTCGTGTTCGCAAGAGCCGCCACTGGACTGTGTGGAGCCAGCTGAATCCAGTCCATGCCATTCGTTAGCTGGTCCCAATCTCGTGTCCTATTTATCTCTTTCCGTGTGGTTAGGTGGGACTTATCCCACTTGGTACGTCGGCCACCATTCGGCCTGTTGTGTCAGCCCCGGATGATGATGATGAGTGTGAAGCGGTTGGTGGAATGAGTATTGGCAGGGGAAACCGAAGCACTCGGAGAAAATTCTCTCCAGTGCCACTTTACCCAACACAAAAGACACATAACCTTGCCTGGACTCGAACCAGCGTCGCCGCGGTGGTAAGCTGCCAACTAACCGACTGAGTCACTGCACGGTCATCTCGTACTCTGTCTCCGCTACATAGATGGTCTTCAGGGCTCCAAACGCAATGTCCTTCGCTACATTTCGTAACATGTCAGCATTTTTCGTGGAATGTTTTTAGTGCTGCCCGCAAGCAGGAATACTGTCCCTTTTCGGTTGTCCATGACTGTATCTACCGTCCACATCTCCGCAACCCGAGACAACTGCTACATGCCCCAGCTGTCGTAGTTTCTGCTGGTATCTCAGGGCAGCTTCACCAGGCGACAGGGAACAGAACAGAGGCATGTAACCTCCAGTGGTTACCACGCAACGTCGTGGCATCACACTGAGTACCCGGACTCAAAGGGACCGCCAGCGAACCACAATCGTAATTCTTCTGTTATTTAAAGACACAGGCTGGCTACTGTCAGGCCGTAATGGACGGAGTGCTTTGCTTTCGGTTGGCAGCAGAAATAGGCTAATTGCACCGCAGAGGACAGCTGAAAACGATCACAGGGCTAGCTGATAGGTTCAAGAAACCTTGGCACTGGCTACGGCCCTCATCCTCATTATCTCTATGAACTCCTTCTTAATGTTATCATAACACATAATGAGGAGCCGTACTATTTGCGCAGACAACGCAGTACTGTTAGAATAGCGAATAGCAAGTGCTACCAACGTTTGAGAAAATGCTCCAGCAGTAGAACTTGACTCTTTAGCTTTTCGGGGTGGGGTGAGACTGAGTCCACTCGGTACGTCGGCCACTGTTTGGCCTACTGCACCAGCCTCGAACGGTAGATGATGAGTGGGCAGCAGTCGGTGGAATGAGAATTAGCAGGGGAAACCTAAATATTATGAGAAAACGCACCCCAGTGCCACTCTGTTCACCACAAATCCCACATGACCGGACCTGGGCTCGAACCCGGCGATTAACCGCCTAAGCTATGGAACGGCCTGGTAATAGAACGTGAAACTAAAACAGTTAAGACGCGATGTAAGTGAAGAACAATCAGTTTGGGGCACTGGCAGCAGTGAAAAGGATGTACAGGATGAAATTAAAAATACCGAATTTTGCAAGCGCTATTACATTCGGTTCGGAACCTGCGGTCATCGCGTTTCCTCCTTTAACAGCTGAAGATCAAGACAGATGTTGTCCGCTGTTTTGTATGGATCTGAAACGCGATCTCTTACCCTGAGAATGTAACACAGGTTACTAGTCTGTGGAGACAACGCTCTCAGGAAAACACTGGTACATGCGAAGAGTGGAGTGACCACTCGGGAAGTCGGAACATTTCTGGAGCCGCAAATAGGCCTCATCTTAAACTTCGCCGCACTGACTGAGCAGGTTGGCGTAGCGGTAACTTTCTAGGTTCGTCTTCGAGAGATGCTCGGTTCGAATCTAGGCCGCAGCAACGACAATTCTGCGCGAAATTTTTAGTGGTGTTGCTCGAACCCTCTGAGAAAATGTCCTCACACTTCCGCGATGAGGCTATGACCGGTTTGCAATTCCCAATTTATCAGTCAACTCACCATTCGACGCCAGATGCTGTCGGCTTCGTAAATGAACTGAGACGTGTGACGTGTGCAAGACACAACTATCGTTGTAAAATTTAGGGGGCTGTAATGGGCTGGGCATGTAGCTACAGTGGACTAACAAGGAAGGCATACATAATTTTGGTTCACATATTTGGATTACAGATAAGATAGGAGGATAACATTAAGATAGATGGCAGGAAGATGGATTGTGAGGATGCATTCGACTGAGGGTCATGATTCAGATCGGCCTCGGCGAGTGGCAGCGCACAGCCTGAATTCCTCACGCCTTTTCCACGCCACCAAAATAAACAGCGTGTATTTATATACCTCTGCCCGTACGTACATGTCCCGCTTGCGGGCATCGGTGGATGCACGAAACTTCTAGAGCTTCATGCGTTCAGAATTTGGGAGCTGCAGAATGCGTAACCTGTTTGAAAGGCGGTGCAAGTCCGTAGAAAGCACTGCGCATGAGCAGAATGAATAATCTCTTCTTCGGCATATTAACAACGCTTCAGAATGAGTAATGAGTGATGAACTCGAAAGGACTGTGGATGTCAGTGGTCGTTGCCTAGTCGAGGTACTCTCCCACAAGTTGCCTGAAAGAACTGAGGAAACACGTAAAGACCGAGATTCGAATTAAGCATCTCCCTAATGCCAGCCTACAGCATACCGCTGGGCCAACCCGCTCCATCTCAATAATGCGGTCTATTTATGGCGTACTCAAAGAGCAGTTTCTCTTCTCTGGAATATCACGATTTAGGTGAAATATTATGGCGCACAATAGCTCAAGCGGTTAGTCGCTGGCTTCCCATCGCAGCGGTCCAGGTTCGATCCCGGGTATGGTCAAGTGGGATTTGTGGTGAACAAAGTGGCGCTGGGGTAGGTTTTCTCCGAGTACTTCGGTTTCCCCTGCCAATCTTCATTCCACCAATTGCTCCACAATCACCCTCACCTATCATCTGGGGCTGGTACAGTAGGCCAGAAGTGACCGCAGTACAAGGGACTTAGTCCCACTACAATAACAATACAAAAAATAGGTGAAATATTCGGGAGTGGGGTTAAGTAGACTGTGGCTCGCGAGTCGCATGCGGCTGTTTTGAATGTTGTTAATGCAGTTCCCAGAAAAGAATCTTAACCCCCCCCCATTTTTACAAATAACTCCGCTGTGTGAACAGCCTGTAAATAAAAACCTGTTCTATTGAAACGCGTCTGTTTCGGCTGAAAATTATGATATGCGGTACCGAAGTTCAGATCAGCAAATCTGGCCAGCCGCGACACAGGACCGCCTCAGCGCGACGTAAGGACACGTATAGCGGCGGGCTAAGGGCTGGACGACCGGGGTTCGTTTTCCGGCAGAGGCAACATTTTTCTCTTCTGCGTAGTGCCCAGACCGGCTCTAGGGCCCACCCAGCCTCCTATCCATGAGTACCGGGGACTGTTTCCCCTGGGGTAAAGCGACCGGTGCATAAAGCTGACCACTCACCTCCATCTAGTGTCGAGGTCAAAAATAGTAGAGCTATACCTCCATTCTCCCATATGTCTTCATGGAGTGGTGCTTAATTAATTAGGCACAAGTACAAGTTTATTTACTTTTATCTGTTTCACTACCTAACTAAATTAAGCATTGTTTTGTGGGAAGTTGATAGTGGCTGGTCTCCGTGATGCGTGTTACATGCTCCGCCCATCTCAACCCCTTGCTATGCTCACGCTAATAATATGAAGAGCCTCATTGGGGTATGTTCAGTTTCGTTTCTCCTCATACTGACTTCCTCCTTTCTCACAGTTCCACGTATTCACCTCGTCATCTCAGTACGTGCTGACGGATCGAGTTTTGCACACAGTCATCCTGTGCAGGCAGCATTCCACTGCAGTCAATACGTTGCAATGACGCGTGACGTAACCGCTTCACCGCCAATTCCTGGCAATGACTCACGTCCACGTCACATGGTTCAGTGATGCTAAATTTATGCGTTCATGTATGTAGCGCGGGGAGAAGTGGAGGCAGAGGCTTGCTGCTGCCTGCAGATGTTAGGTTCTCATAGACGTGAATATTGAGAGCACGATCTTCTGAGATGTAACTCCGTGCAGTTTGGTAGATGGGTACCGAACGTTTCGGAGGAACCTTCAGGGTAGCACTGCTACTATGGAGATACGAGTGAAGGACTGCTGCTGGCTTGCCTCTCTTTTCGGCTATGAACATGGAAGCAGAACGTTCTTCCGAAACGTGGGTGGACTTCTACCAGAGTGTACGTAGTCACATACCAGAAGTGAGTACTCCTCATAGTGCTTCCCCTATCACCAATATCTGATGACGGGAACTCACTCTGCGGGGTAAAGGGGGGTGGGCAGAGAGGCAGATCGAAGTGCACTTCCGAGAAACATACTTATTGTTTATAAAGTTAAACTCCTTTAGCAGTATCACAGACTACACGGCGTCACATCCCAACAAATGACACTCTCCATACCTCCATACTGAATACCTCGATAACCTCGTCATGAATCAATTTATCGCCGTTCGTCTCACACTAGATCGCACTAGACGGTGATTAATCGAACTATTTAGCCACATTGGTAGGTAGTTCTCAGTAGGTCCAACAGATGTCTCACAGATTAATCCGATTCTGCCATCTTCCGGCAGAGTGCATGAAGTAGGCTTGTTCTGCTAGCGTGAGAAGAAAAACGGTTATTTTGCTGGGG